GGCCGGCTTTAGCGCGCTCGGTTAAACAGGACCCCATTTGAAATATTCATAAAATACCAAACCGTACAACCCAAGTAATTAAACGTTATATAATTCAAGTATTTTTAAAAAAAAGGCAACGCTGCATTATTTTAAAAACTTAACATTAATTTAAATGTCTAATTTCGAATAGGTAGGATGCTTTACGTGTAGATGTATTCTTGGTTGCGTTTTCTCGTTTGACGGAGGGCGGGTCAACACAGACGCCCCTTTGAAAGATGGCGAAGAGGCTGTAGGAATCTTGGTCATCCTTTCAACTTCAACAGTTGAACCCGCTGGGCCGACGAGGTCCGGTAGTAGGTGTCTTTATCTTACTGCCATTCAGTTCCTCTGGTTGCCGCTCCCAAAAGGACATCACAGTGTACATGTAAACAGAGAACAGAGAGTGATGAGTACAATGCATAAATAAATACAATACAAACATTCTACAAAGCCACTACATTTATTTAGTTAGTACTACGGTATATTTTCGACAGCTTGGGTAAAGTTATTATTTGCTAGAATTAAGTTGTTAGTAACCAACCCCAAGGGTAACTGAAGCAGCGTATTTCTGAGACCAACCTCACCCTTCGCCCCTTTCGATTGAAACCAACAAGAACCAAAATTTTACACAAACCACTCAATGTCTATTTGGTATCCCGCTGAAACCAGCAACCAGTCCTGCATACTAGTCAAAGAAACAAACAACTACTGGATTCCTAAGACTTCGAAGTTTGGTGGTACACTCCCGCCCCTAAGGTGGATCACAAACTATCATACTCTAAAAATTTAAACATTATAGTATGAAGGGGCTACTCTTTGACTTGTTGAAAAATCCACATAACCTCCAAAACCAACAATACCAAAAATACGACTACGAGAAAAAAATATCAGACAGCTTTGGGATTTATGGAAGTTGCACTCTAGACTTAAGAAAACAATACCTTGTAAGTAAAATTTTAAAATACTTCAAACTTATTACAAAAACAACTGTTGTTAGATTAAATGATAGTTAGTCTGTCCGCCCTCAACCTTGCAAACCCAGACGTAAGCTGAAACAAAAGATTTTTTTTCGAAGTTATTGTAGACCACAAAAATGTAATCAGAAAAATTGTAAACATAAAAGAGAAAGAAAAAGGAAGAATTGTTTGATTGTTAGAAGTTCCTGCGATTCTTCTGAGCGCCTAAGAACATTAAAGTGTCAGCTCGCCCCTACTTAACCGACCCCTCGTCAGCGGCAGCACTCCGTTCTTAAAAGCAGAGCAAACTTGGTAGGAAACCAGAAAATATAATAAGAATGGGTTAAGGACAACACCAAACACTCTAGGTACAATAACCAATGATTGATTAACTACAAGGACATAGTCGCTTTGGAAAGTGAAAGTTTTTTTTTCAAAACAAACAACTTTGTTCATAGAATATCCAGTTGCGCCCCTAGTACTTAAATTAGCTGCCCTTTTAAATGATTTAACTGCGTTTTGTGTAGGTCACCTTCAAAACATGTTTTGAAGCTAGCTGCAAAAGAATATGTAGCTACAATCAAGAAATTGCTGAAATGGAAAGTAACAACAAGTCAAAATCAGTAGCTGGCTTTTAAGAAGATTCCACTACTAATAATAAATACGGACTTCAAAGAGTTTCAGTCATATTTTCAATTTTTTCTTTACCAAGCTGAAAATAAAATTGATTAAGACTGACCTTCCCAACATTTCAAGTCAATAAATACATTTTGACTTGATGACCCTCTCAATTGGACAACGTTACGTTACTCTTTACAGAGCGCAACTCAGCTCAAAGGTGCAGAACTCCCCTCCCAAAAAGTTAAAGCAAATAAAATCTTAGAAAAACTCACCCGCTATTGTCAGCTATCTTCGTGTGGCTGCAAAACGTAGGATCCTAATCACTAGGCAGTCATAGCCAGCAGGAGTAGCAGGATTGGCCTATCTCACAGGAGCAAAATGGTCTGCAGGAACAAGACCCGCCGGATTGGCATGTCCCACGGAAGGATATCCACCAGCAGAATGACTTGCAAGAGTGAGCTCAGCAGGATCACTCGCAGAAGTAAGCCCAGCAGGATGTGACATGCACCGCAGGAACATTACGATCAGCGGGAGCAACAGGATCTGCAGGAATGAACCAATTATAATGGCTCGCAGGAATAAGCCCAGCAGGATGGTTCGCAGGACCCGCATGATCCATAAAGTGTGGCTTGCGGAAGTGCGACCTACAGTAGTGATAATCCCAGCAGGAGAGTCCAGCAGGAAATATGAGCCGCAGGAGTTTTCCAGCAAGCGTCGCATATTCAGCAGTATACCTTGGATACTAAAGTTGCATTAACAGGAAACAATCCCACTGGGTCAGCGCGTCTTCCAAACGGTGGGGGGTAACCTTAAAGAATAAAAAAGAGCCAACACCCGAACAAGAACAACCAACAATATACCTATATATAAACCAAATTACAAAATATAACCTCCTCTCAGGCACTCCAAACCTATCCTCCTATGCAGCGGCCACATTCTGTGCCGCAACCAAGAAAAAATCCAACAAGCTCAGCATAGCTCCGGAAACGACACCGTGCACTGTGTCGAAACCAAAGAAAACCAAGCAAATTCGACAAATCCTGGTCACGGCACCTTCTGTGATGGGCACGGGGAGGGGGTACCCCATACTCATGCAAACGGCAGTAACCCAAGGCGATTCGAAGAATCGCGCGAACTAAATTTAAATATTGACAGCACAAGCAGTGTTGTCAAGTTTGGCCAAAAGAAGTGATCGTCTAGAAAATAGAAAAGGAGACCCTACGTTGTGTTATTTTAGTTCGCTTCTAGATAGGTGGAGTAGCCAATGAGAGGAGACCAGATTAGGTAATAAAACACAATAAGTATGGTTGTATGTTTTCTCTATTCATTGTTTGTTTACAATGGAGTTTTTTTACAAAGGTTTGGTTGACGGTAGTTAGCGTTTTATGTATTGCAGTGTTTATTGAATATTGGTTTTTAGTTAGCGTTTGTTATTTGGACTTTGTCATACCAAGCTTTAATAAAGCAGATTTATAAAATGTTACAAGTGCAATTTACCCCTCCCAACAATACAACAGGTTAGAAAATGAATATTATTGGATGCAAACCGTTTTGTCTAGTGTATTGAAACCTTTTATAGCTATCTAAACATATTCCGCTACAGTGTACATAATAAATGCATAGTTTCCATATTACATATCACAGTAAATACATCAGCTAAGTCGTTTACATTATTGGCATTGTTGTCCCACTTACTTTTCCACAAAAAATCATGTAGAACATTTGCATTATAATTCTTTTTTATTTATTTTTGTTTTACTGACTTATGCGAGAGAATAATTTAAAAATACTCCAAAAATATATTTATTCTAGTAGGTACTGAAATATTAATATCGATTAACTCATAATTCTAGCTCCAGTAAAAAAGAGAGTTTATTTTTGTCTTTCTGACATAAATGCGAGATCATAATTTATAAATACTCCAAAAACATATTTATTCTAGTACTGGAACACTGAAATATTCTAGCCCCAGTAAAAAAGGCACTTTATCCTTGTAATTTTTATTTATTTTTATTTTGCTGACTTATGCAAGAGCTTAATTTAAAAATATTTAAAAAATATAAAAACAAATAATTTAGTACTAAAATCGATTAGGTCATGATTCCAGCTCCCGTAAAAAGGGATTTTATTCCTGTAAAATTTATTTATTTTTGTTTTGCTGACTTATGCGAAAGAATAATTTAAAAATACTCCAAAAATATATTTATTCTAGTACTGGAACACTAATATCGAACTCATAGTTCTATCTCCACTAAAAAAGGAGACTTGTAATTTTTATTTATTTTTGTCTTTCTGACTTATATATAAGCATATATGCTTATGCGAGATCATAATTTAAAAATACTCCAAAAAATATTTATTCTAGTACTGGAACACTGAAATATTCTAGCTCCAGTAAGAAAGAGACTTTTTAAGAGAATTTTTATTTATTTTTGTTTTGCTGACTTCTGAGAGAGAATACTTTAAAAATTGTCAAAAAATATTTTATTCTAGTACTGCAACACTAATATTGAATAAATCATAATTCTAGTTTAAGTAAAAAATAGACTTTTTTCTTGTAATTTTTATTTATTTTTGTTTTGCTGACTTAAGCGTGAGCTTTTATGATTTTAAACAAGTCCTCGATTTTAATTATTTTTTTTTAAATATCTATTTTTTAATTTGCATCCATTTTTATAAAATTGTATGTTTGTTTATTCTCTGATTCTGAATTTTCAAAAAGTAGTTTTGAAGATTGAAAAATTAAGCTAAAATAATTAACTTCATTGATACTGGTTATGGTAATATTTGATTAAAATTTTAATAAAATAAAATTTAATTTTGAAAACTCAAAATTTAATAGATATTTTTTTTTATTTTTATACTCAAAATAATCTCCTCATCCTGTATATTTGTATGACTATTTTCCAATTTGTATATTTTTATATTATTACATTTTTTTTAATATTCGCCGCCCTGTATATTATTTATGATTTTTCAGAATTTGTTTGATTTTTATGATTTATTTTCATAATTTTTTATAATTATTATTTTAAGTATTTCCATGATTTTTTATCATGCTATATAGCATAATAATAATATTTATATATTATATTTTTGTCTAATTTTTGATAGTTTTTCCATGTTTTTTTTTAAAGATTTTGTATAGTTTATTTTTATAATTTTTTAGTTGTATCTATAAACATTTTTAAATTTTGTTTGTTTGTATTTTTTATGTTTTTGGATAGTTTTTAAAATTAGGCTTTTTATTTTATAGGTTTTCTAATTTACCGATATATTACCAGAGTTTTATTATCATTTATGTTTTTAAATGGAAGTTTGTAGTTTTCTACATGGTAGTTTTAGGAAGTCAAAATATTAGTTACCAAACTGCATAATATTAAAGCTAATTTATTTTTTAAGAAGGAAATTCTATTTGAAGCCGAAAACTTCAACGACATCCTCCAAGAGAGATTCCTGGATTCCTACAACAACCTCACACTAAAAAGCATAAACATGATGAAATTAATAAGCAACCATTGTTTCTCAAACACCAAATTCGTTATGAAAGTCGACGATGATATATTTGTGAACGTAGAAAATTTAGTCCAAATGTTAGCTTCAAAAGGAGACGCATCAAATATTATTTACGGAAAGAAAATTTGTCGAGCTTTTGTTATAAGAGATAGTACCAATAAATGGTAAGTACAATATATGTAAATAAAATTAAAAATTTACACTTTAAAACAGATTAATAAATAGTTCGAACTTTTAGTATTCTGTCTACAAAACATCTTGAACATCTTGAATTTCATTGTTTTTAATATTTTAGGTATGTGCCAAATTATTTATATAATAAAGGAATGTATCCTGATTACGTATCAGGAACTGCTTATGTTTTTTCGGTTGATGTGGCAGAAAAGTTACTTAATGCCTCTTTTTCAATACCTATTGTCCATTTGGAAGATATTTATTTAACAGGTACAGGTTCTATAATCTATTTCCACAATTTCCTTGATTTTTGTTATTTTGTAATGATCTTAATTTTTTTTTGTAATTTTAAAGTTAAGGTTTTTTTGGGGGAATTATGGTTTTTAAGATTTTGCAATATTTTGTTCGCATAGTTTAGATAGTTTTTATATGATTTTGTAATGATTTGATAGGTTTCACAAGGTTTTAAGTACATTTTGGTGAATTTTACAGTAGAGCAATTTTGAATTTAGGAAATATTAGTATGATTTTGAATTTAGGAAATATAAGTATGATTTTGGTGAATTTTACAGTAGAGCAATTTTGAATTTAGGAAATATTAGTATGATTTATATTAGAGAAACCTGTGCAAATTCTAAAATTGAAAACTCTTGAAGAACATTTTGAAAACACTACATACCTACGTACTGGAAAGTTTTGTATTTTGATTAGTAAGGTTACAAGGTTAAATGGTTACCATTTAACCTTGTAACCTTACTAATCAAAATAATAAAACGCGATTTATAGGGCATGTTCAACTTCTATTTGTTATTAAGTAAATAGCAAGTAAAAATGAGTAGACAATTTAACAAATTAAACACATGCAAAAGTTGTATTAAAACTTAAAATGAAAAAATATTTTGTTTCTAAATTTTGTGCTTTACGGTGAAATGATTATCGTCAATGCACATATAGTTATAAGAAAATTATATGTGCTTCAACTGATATTCTGGAACCGTAGCTTATATAAATAATAACTACATGGAATTAACACATACTTCCACACAAATCATTTAGGAGAAAGCATAAAAAAGGAGAAAGGAGAAAGACTGTTTTCGTTTCGTGGAGTTAAAGTAGAGGAAGTGAGGCACATGCGTGGCATTGCCGGTATTAAAATTAATACCATATTTTTATCCTTATTTGGACAAATAATAAATAGTTTTTACAGGGTTCCCACCAAGAAAATGAAACAAAATTCCCTGACTTTTCCAGGTTTTCCAGACCAATTTTTATCAATCTCCAGCAATAATTATAGGTACTATGCTCCACACCTCAAGTCCCACCACGTGACCAAGTACGGAACGCAGTCTTTTGAAAATTTGGCATTTAAGGCTTTTCAGGTTATGTATCTGTCAAAGTATAGTCAATAAAAGAAATCATATTTATAGTGATACCGCTTATTTTTAAGCGTTAAAAGTTAATAAATCTTTATAGTATCACAATAACATGGTTGGTTTAAGAATTTACGAATATAAATACTGCATTTAATGAAATTTCAAAGTGTAAGGTGATATTTTTGTGCATTGGGTCTACATTTCTCCATAAAATAGTTTTAACTAGACAGAATTTATTAAAAAAAATCTAACTTCTCTATTATGAAATAAGAATATCTGTATTTGATATATCAAAGGTAGGTTAATGTATTAGAACAAAAAATTTCATCTAATTTTGTATTTTAAGGTTAGAAAAATCTATTTTGACCAAAATAAATAAGTGGATTATTTGGAAGAGTGTGTTAATTTGGTCATAAATAAATATAGGTATACTAAATAATTGTTGAATATGGTTCAAATTAAAATGAAGCTCTTATACTTCTAATGACAAAACTTGTGCATACCTCTCGGCATACCTACTTTAAGTTATGTAGATTATAAGAAAACAAACAATTTTTAGAGAAACTTGCAATGTGAAAATATTTAATACTCCCATGACATGTGATTTATTAAAATTTTTAAAGTTATAATGATTTTTTGATGTAGATCAAATTCAGTCGAAGCTTTTTCACTATTTGTATTGACAAAACTTTATGTAGGTACACTTTAAGCTGGATAAGAAAAACTACCACATTTTTAAATACCGTATTATACAGTCTTTTAAATAATCAAAAATACTTATTTATTTTGGTCAAAATAAATTTTTCTAACCTTAAAATTACAAAATTAGATGATATTTTTGTTATAATGTATTAACCTACCTTTAATACAGATATTCTTATTCCATAATAGAGAAGTTACATTTTTTTAAATAAATGCTGTTTATTTAAAATTATTTCATGGAGAAAACCAGATGCACAAAAATATTACTTATTTGGCACCATACACTTTGGAATTTCATTAAATGCAGTATTTATATTCTTAAATTCTTAAACCATCCATTGTTAATCTAATGTTATAAAGATTTATACATTTTTAACGCCCAAATATAATATTATTTCTTTCGTTGACTATTCTTTGACAGATACATAACCTGAAAATTTTCAAAAGACTGCGTTCCGTACGTGGTCACGTGGTGGGAATTTGAGTTGTGGAGCATAGTACTATCGCTAACAAAAAAAACTCATACAGCTATATTGTGGCTGTGTGAATAAAACTTTTCCGTCAATGTCAAGCTGACATCGAGCTTTGTCACATCCATAATGACTTTTTTAACATTTTTAACCAAACAATGCAGACGAACTCTGGCAAGCCATTGAAGCCATTTGGAACGAGATAAAGCAAGACGGCGACTTCCATGCTTTGCCGTTTGCGGGCAGTAATTGACAAAAACAGAGGGATGACGAAATATTATTTTTTTTTTCAAACTTTAACCTAACTTTGTATTTAATTTTAGACCTTTCAAATGTGACGTATTATGTTAAAAGCCATAATTACTCCAACGAAATGATAGAAAATCAGGAACACTAGATTTTTAAGCTGTATGAGTTTTTTTTGTTAGCGATAGTACATGTAAAGTAAAAATATATTTTATTTTTCTTTTTACAATTTTTTTTAACATTTCTTAAAATATAATAAAAAAATTAAACAGAACATTCATAAAAAATTTGAAAGGAAACAAACTTAGTTTATAAGGTCATACATTTTATATTATAGTATTTGCGCAAATGATTTATTTTAGTTTCAATGCCCGGCTATATTATTTGTAAAAAATAATCTTCGGCCGGTAATAAAAATAGAAACAATTTTCGGAAAAATCAAGAAAAATTAGTTAAATTCCCTGACTTTTCGTAAAAATTAGTTAAATTCCCTGACTTTTCGTAAAATTCAGCAAATTCCCTGACTTTTCCCTGACTTTTTTACTAATATTTAATTTCCCTGACATTTCCAGGTTTTCCCTGTTTTCCAGGTGAGTGGGTACCCTGTTTTAATAAGTTGTATATTAATTTTATAAAAAAAGCATTGAAAAATATAAAATAAACTGATCGAAAAAAGTTAAGCATATTTTTGAACAAAGTTGAAATCAAACTGGATACCGACTGATACCTTTTTTCGACTTCGTTCTTTTTTGTCTAAGATTCTTTCATTTTTACGTTTTTATTACCAAATAATAAAATAAAATACCTATACAGGGCGTATAAAATTGTATCGTTAAATTTATGTTTTGGTCAAAATATCTTAATATGCTTAACTTTATTCGATTAGTTTACATACAATTATGATATTTTAAGATTTTATAATGGCAGGCAGCAAGAATTTGGCAACGTCGTATTTTATTTTGACAGCAACGATAGCCAAAACAAAGAACACACTTTGGCTAATCTATGCGTTAATTGAGATGTGGGTAAATGATATAGGCAATTGATTTACAAACGTTTAATTTAATTTTTAAAATTTAATATAATAGTTATTTATGTATTAAGGGCATAATAAGGTTTTTATGGTCCGAGGCGCTATTTCGAGCCCGAGCGCGTTAGCGCGAGGGCTAGAAAAGCGTCGTAGGACCATAAAAACCAGTTATGCCAGCAATGCATACAAAACTTTATGCACGATTAATATATTATTATTTTTAATATATTATTGTTTTTAAAGACGTTTACGTCAAAGAATTTTTGTTATAATTGTCATATTATAATGTCAACTGACATCAGTCAGTTTTAAAGTTTAAAGATAAATGAAATTGAGGAAGCAGCTGAAAAGGCGAAAAATTGCGGCCTGCTGCCGGTAAAATCAAAATCTTTATACGATAAAACTTACTTCGAATATATCAAATGGTGTAACATTGTTGTTTTTAATTTTTGACATTTCATTATAGCCCGCTGGGCCATAATAACGCCCGCGGGCTATAAAAAGACGTTTACGTCAAAGAATTTTTGTTATAATTGTCATATTATAATGTCATCGTGCATAAACTAAGTTTAATTCCCCACTTATGCACTGACTATGCGCATAAGGTAGATCATATTCTAAATAAACAAATCTCCCCTGAAAAAAGGAAATAAGGTCATCCATTCAAAATATAGAGAATATGTGTGGATATTAACGATTATCCTGCCATCTTTAGGTCAAAAGCAAATATTTGTTTAAATGCGTTGGTGTGCATATCTCAATTTTGGCCAAAAGTGTACTTAAATCCCTATGGAACTTACGCGACGATTTGTTATTTGATTTTCAAAATCAGGTATTTAGTATTTTTAATAAAATTGAGTTTTTCTACGATTTTTGTTTTTTTATTAAATACTTCTTACAGGGTAGATTTTTAAAGCGTTTGTTAAGTCAAAATATAAGAAAAAGCTTTAACCAAACTTTTTTAGGAATTTGTGCAAAAAAGGCCAACGTAAAACTCGAAGGAAATTACATGTTCGTATACAGACAACCAAAACTCGATTTTTGCCTGATGCGAATGGGCATATCTTTTCACGAATTCAACTACTCGACGATTCATTATATCTACGAGGAGCTAAAAGATCCAAATCTTCCGGAAAAGTGCGCCAAATACAAGGAAAACGTCTACAAGGGAGACTGCAAGAAACCGAAAAAACGAAGAACACTTTCCTCCTAGCAGATAAAATTGTGATCAAAGTTTAAATATAAAGTTTATGTGGGAAGAAAGAATACGTAGTTATGGGGCACAAAGTACAGGGTGAGTCAGAATAAAGTTGTCAGAATATACAGTCTCAGAAAAAAGTAAAGTAAATAAAAATGAATAAAACATAACTTTTACTCACCCTTAAAAAGTTATTAAAGTATTGCAAATAATACTGTAGGTAAATTTTTAACTCTTGAAATATCACAGCTAAACGCTCGGACACGTAAACATAATTTTTGGTCGTAGATTTCAAATCCGTTCTCGGTTTAGCTGTGTCAGGTCTAAAAAAGTTTTCTTATTGGAAATCCGATATGGGGACACACTGTATACTGGTATATTATAATTTGTAAAATAATATATTTCACCTCTTGTGCCAATATTCCTATGCTTTTTATTTCATTTAATATAATATCCTTAACTATACTCAATAAAAAAAATCAGCAAAAAAGCATTTAAAATTTCCTTAATTATCTAAGAAAAACTCTTAAGGACACAAGAATTTGTTTTTTTTAATTTGGAACTGATGTGGGGGTCAAGCCAAATTATTTTTTTAAAATTATACAGGGTGTTTCCTTTGAATTTGGACCTGACACAGCTAAACCAAGCATGGATTTGTAATCTACGACCAAAAATTAAGTTTACGTGTCCGAGCGTTTAGCTGTGATATTTTCACCTTCCTACAGTGTAATTTATTCTTATGAAGTTCATCAAAATTTTAGAAATAGTGCAATACTTATGTGATTAACTAATTTATAAGGCCATTAAATATAGTATTAAATAAAACTTGATGGTCAATAGTTTTGAAGAAGTATTTTGGAGAAGTATGTATATAGATACCCAATAACGCAAAACCTGATTTTAAAGTTATAGCTTAGTTTCTACAGTTGTACACTACTCAAGTACTTAAGTACTCTCTATATTATTTTTTATTTTAAAAGTATAAAGTACATTGATGGTACATTTTATAAACTATGTACTACCACTTTTCAGATTTTTTTTATTATTATGTAAATTTTATATTTGAAACTACAGACGACTAATAATTATTTTAAAAGTTAATGTAGTAAAACCTAAATCAAAAACTTAAATGTTTTCCATTATTCGCTGTTTTAAAATTTAAATCAGATTACCATAATATTATGTACAGATATTAACAAACAAAATTGTAACCCAAAAAAGTGGGATACAAAAATACATGGTTTTATTAAGTAACCACCACTAATTTGTTTGTGATTATTTAATAGTTTAAAACAATGTTAATGTTTGCTTAGCCTTACCAAAAAAAATAATGCTGGCATTATAGGTATAATTTTTGGTATATTGAGGAAATATTACATTTTTTATTTATTGTAATATTAGGTTGTGATTTTTTAGCCTTTTTAATGTAACTTAATAATTTGATCCATGTGATTTTTTGTGCTTGCTTTAATATTATAAGAGAATTGATTTATTTTAAGGTAAAAAGGGTATTAATAAGCAGAGCTGTGTGGTAGGTACTCAATTTAGTAGTTCTGAGTATATATTTTTAATTAAATACCAATTCCAATTTTCTTATTTTTTGTTGTGCCCAAAACAGCTCTGTTAATTACAATAATAGATGCTTTAACACATGAAATAAAACATATATGTTATATGAATGTTTTAAAAACGGCTAGTGATATAGTAAGTCCATAAAATAATAGCTGGTAATTTTAAAGCCTAGTTACTAAGCTTAAAGTTGTTCCCCTGAATGTAAATACGTTTTTTTAAATGTAATTTTAAACCATTTATCGAATTTTAACATTTAAAGACAATCTTTTATTTACCAAATAATTTGTTTTATGATTAATTGAATTGACTGAAGTATTTAAGGAATGTGTAAACAACATTTTGATATCTTAATTATTATAATCAATTTGTTGCCTCAATGTTTAATTGTTAATGTCAATTATTAGTAAGAAACTTTTGAAAAATTAATGTTTTTCCTTCTCAAAATTGAAATTAATCAATATGCAAGTAAATAAATATTAATGCCATAATGATAAAATAAACCCTTAAGATATTGCTATTAAGTGAAAGCCATAGTTAGCAATATATAGTAAATTATACAAAACAAATGTCTCTTATTTTTTGTATAAAGTAAAATAGCATGTAAGATTTGAAAAAAATGGCTAATAATTCTAGATTTTAATTTTCTTTTAAAAACATAGTGCCTTACTAAGTTTAGAAACTTATTTCATGCTTCTTTAAAATATAATAGTTGTTTAAGTTTAGAAACTTATTTCATGCTTCTTTAAAATATAATAGTTGTTAAAAATAGAAAATTCTTTTAGTGAAAATATTTTAAATTCTATATTGTTTAATAAATAAATTCCATTAAAAAACTACCCTATTGTACATCCACTGGTGTTTTAAACGTATTTTGAAATAAAATTTAAATATTGAATAATATTTTGTTGTTTTATTTATTTATTTTATGAAACCCTGTAGGAATTTGTGTAAAATGAAAAAATTCAAAAAGTACAAATCTCATATTTTTTATTAACTTAAAAATCATTCAGAATACATCAACATTTATTTTATACATAGCTTTTTTAGAACTATCACAATCATGAAACTTTTTATAGTTTTTATTTTGTGCAACAATGCACAAAACCTTATTATATGCATTTAAACATTTTTATTTTAATTTTAATACAACAAAGCTCAATGTTGTGTTGTTTTGCATTAATTTTTAAAGAATATTGAAAAAAGCATTTTAATAACAGTCTTGTTAATTAGTTTAATTTTACTATCCGATCTATTTATTATTATAATATGTTTGATTTTGCATCAACCTTGCTTGTTTTTCAATTTATGAAACAAAAAAATCCTCTTCATTACAAATGAAGGACAAAAATTTTTATTAAAAAAAAAGTAGACCTTTCATACACTAAGTCATAGGGCTATAAAAAGTAACAAACAAAAACATGTAATGTATAATGTAAATATACATTAATTTATATAAATACAAGAATAGTAATCGAATTTGTACTTACTAAATTTAGACAACTACTCATCATCTGAAATACGACATGCTTTAGTCATTGATTTTGTGAGTGAACGAAACGCCTTTTTTTCCTTGGTTTCGCACGATTCCCTTTCTTTTTTCCTTTTTTTCTTGTTCTTCTTGTTTTTGGTTCTTTCAGGAAAATCAGTGACAGATTGGCTTCTTTTCAATCCTTTGTCCTTGTCCTCGAACTCGCACTTGCGTTTTTTGTGTGCCGATTCCTTTTCCTCCTCATTTGTGAGGGCTTCCTCGATGAAAAGGCTCGTCGATGTTTCTGTTTTGGCTTCCAACTTGCGTTTTTTCTTTAACTTCTTTCTTTCAGCTTTCGATAAATCGTTGTAGTTAAATTGAGCCAATTCAAAACTTCTATGATCGTCGTTCTGATCATTGTTATTGTTTTCTACATCCTGTTCTATTCCTTCATCGGAACCGTTTGACATTTCCACATTGGGTTCATTGCTATTTTCGTCCCTATGAGAACTAACCTCACTATCAAAACTTGTTTCGGGTTCTATCGTGTAAATCTTCGTTATGTTTTCGTTAAACGTGACTGATTTTCTTTTTTTGTGTTTTTTCTTTGAGGTTGTTGCCTCCATTTCAACTTCTGTAGGTTCTTTTGTGAGGGTTTCCTCCTTTTTCTTTTTGAGTTTCGTCAGTTTTTTCTTCGTTATTTCGCCCTCGTCTGTGAGGGATACTTTTTTTAGTTTTCTTAAAAGCATCTCTTCTTGTTTTTCGATGCGGGAGAGTTTTCCGCTTAAGGTGAGGCCATGCCTGGCACCTCTGAAAGATTTTCAAAAAATTGTTTTTTTGGTTTTTCTTAAGAGTACTCTGTGAAAATTTCAAAACAGATCCATATAGTTTTAAAGATATCTTTAAACGCGTTTTTCTCAATACTACGTTTACGAATACGTTGCCCACTACTCAAGGATTTAAATGAAATTTTTACAGCATATTCTAGGCATTAAAAACCTAAGCCTGGTCAAAGGATTTTTTAAACCAAAACTTCTATTTTTTATTTAATTATCAATAGATTTTTTTCTCAAAATTCCAGAGGCAGCCATTTTTGACATTGGAAAAAAATTATTTGATCAGGCTTAACGATTCTTTCATAAACAATCAAACCAACATTTTTTTTATTTTAATTCTAAATGCACAATTAAGTACTGATGGTCAATCCAAAGTACATTTTACAAGAGAGAGGATAACAATCGAGTTATTAACTTTTTTTTTTAATTTTTGTGAAAGTTATTAAAAATATAGTGTAAAAAGTAGGTATTATATATTAAATAAAAAACACTATGCAAATACAATACTAAAATCTTGAAAATGTTTCTACACCTCTGACTGCATGATATAACCCATCTCTTAAAGTAGTATCTCCATTTGAAGAGTTTGATAAAAAAATAACAGTAAGCCGTAGTAAAAATAAAACGCTTTTAATTAACAAATTAATACTTTATTACAGATTAAAGTAGCATAAAAACTAAAAACAAGATAAAAAGCAAATAAGTACCTACCTAACAATATAAATTGTTAATTTGATGTTATAAATGCACCACAAAATTTGAAATGACAATTTTAAAAAGATAGAATATTATGTATCAAGTTTGATAAACGCCATTTTAGACACCAATTTAATTTAGGCAGTGCTTAATTTCAAGAAAAGCTTATAAACGAGTTACATACTATACTTTTTTTATGACAAATACTTATTATGATTTAAAAATTATTTAAATTAAATATTTTTATAGAGCGACATCTATAAAACAATAGAAGCAAATGTGGCAATGTCAAAATTTTGACCTCAATTTTTTTTCGCTTTTTTGGAATAAACAATTAAAAAAAAATTGAGTAAATTTACTTAATTTTTTTGGTATGTAGTAAACAATTTTCTACAATTTAAAAAATAATTGTCAAACAAAAAATTTCACTCGTAAAAAAAAAATCGATGTTTCTGTCCATTTTTCAAAAATTTTCTACGGGTAAAAAAAACAAATTTAAGCAAAAAGAAAAAATACGGGTCTCATCGCTTTCGGTAGAGAAAATGTAAAAAAAAATCGTTGAAAAATAACGACCTACCCATTTTTGCCTGGTCGATTTGAGATGGAAAGACCCTAAAGTAACCCACTTGGGAATCTCAAATGTCAAATTTGTATGTGTATATTTGAGTAGGTCCATTCCAAAACTAAGCTTATCCACTTTTTAATAAAAATGAGTTAGTGGTGTCTGTACATTTAACATGTAGCCCCCTTTACCCTGAAAAGGTCATAATATTCTAAAACTCACCTTTATTCCATTTAAAATTTATTTACAAATTGACTATCGTTCCAAAACTTGCCTTATCTATAGGTTTTATCATGTCAGAACTGGCTTATACAATGTAATTTTAAATTATTTGAAATTGGAGCTATACCTTTTTAATCAAGGTATATAATATATATATGTATATAATATACCTTGATTAAAAAGGTATAGCTCCAATTTAATAAAAATAAATATAAATATAAATTTTATTTTTATGCCTATTTATTTCGTTTAAAGTATTCTTTAGGGTTGATATGCGTTAGTACTCACGTGTAAGGTTTTTGACATTTTGCTCAAAATCTTTCAAGCCGAGTTTTGGAATGCACCTCCTCATTTGCTATATGGTGTAAATGAAAAGTATCCCTTGAAAATGGACCGTTTAATCCGATATAGAAGCAGTTTTTCACAGTGAAAGTTAAGAAAATGTTTAATTGGCACCCCACCCAAAATTAAGTTAAATCTAGTTTACTGCCGGCGAAATTAAAAGGTCAGTATAATGTTCATATAAACTTTTCAAATATTGGGGTTGAGAAACTATTATATATATATACTTTTATATTTAAGAATTGAGATAATAGAATAATTTTTAAATTTAGTATTATTTTCCAAGAAGGGCACTTTATTTTAACGATTTTATGACATTTGACAACTGTCTACTAACTTAAAACTAACTTCAGCCTGTGACTAAAAACATGTTGCAAAGTTCAGCCCGTGACTAAAACTCCATAAAGCCACAACTTGTCAATTTTTATTTGTCATGGAAACATGTACAGTAATGGATGTTTTAAAGGAAGAAGTAGGAAAAATTGTTTTTTGAGATTTCCATGAAAAATAAAGTTACCTACTGTTACAATACATTTTTCAGCCATCAAAATGATCCCCTTTGGTTGCTCGAGTTTAAAAATCAATTTAAAAAAAAATTATAAAAAATAAAACTTACCTATGTCCCATAGATTATTTTAAAAATTCGTTTCCAAACTCAACAAACCAAATAGATGTTAAAAGCTTAAAAATAATCATTTAGGTACCTACTTTATTTTTTATAGAAATCTCTTGAGCAAGCTTAGAAGATACAAAATAAAAAAAATGGCATATGAAAATGTAACTTCAAAAAATTATTTTCTTGAAATCTGTGCTGTAAGAAGATCTGGAATTATTTAACATTCTATGAAAACTCTTCAACTGGAGATACCATGTTAAGAAATTACAATTAATTAAAAAAATTATATACTAACTTGTGTGCAGTTCTGCCCCCACATGCTTTAAACAATTGATCATCTGTAAGTTCAAAGGCCTTGGGTTTAGGAAGAGATTCTACAGGCTGCACATCGTAAGTTTCCATGCCAGTTTCAGTTAACTTTGCAGTTTTCAAAAATGAACTCTCTAAATTTTTGTAGTTTGTTGATTTACCCAGTGGCAAATATTGATCAATGTTTGCCCTCTTTTTTTCTTTGACGCTAACCTTATCATTCTCCTTGTGAACCTAAAAATTTATTGTTTGGTATTTTTTGACAAAAAAAGGAATTTTTATTTTGTAAACATTGTTAAAATGTCCAAAATTTTTAAAACTTGCATTAAATTACATTACTTTAAGCGGACATGAGCCACATGACTGTTATGTCTATCTTAATACAGTTAACCGAAAGTAGGCATGACTGTTGTGTCTAAAGTAGACATGAAAGTTGTGTCTACTTTAGGTTAACTATAACTTTTTTAAAAATGTCAAGTTAAGCTAGACAAAAATTTAAACTTAACCTTAACTGTTTTAAGAGTTCCAATATTGGCTAGATTATAACTGTCTTAACAATGTCAACTAAAGCTAGATTTAGTTGTTGAGATAGTTTAGCAAAATAGGGCCGGTTTTGCCAACAAAAAATCTACTAATTTAGTTCAGCATTATTAAACTCAGTTTTGGGGTTTATAAATCCTTAAGTCACTGGTCTATTTGTAATTTTGTGTTAACTTACGTCAAAATTACTCGAAGCTGCATTGTATACATTTTCCCACCACTTATTTGTGAACTCTTTACCTCGATCATGACCAAGACCTGTGTTATCGAACTTTAATTTTGGTTTTAGGGCAGAGTTAATACCATCCTCGTTTTTTCCCAAACCCTTGCCTTGAACACAAATCAAACATAACAATATAATAAACGTTATTACAAAATTATTGTTTATACAAATTGTGGGGTTATGTTATATAAAAAATGTATTTTCAAAAAGTAAAAAAAAGATTAACAATGCTTACCGTCAGTCCACCCGTATTTTTCAAGTTGCTTTTTTGCGAAATCCATTTTTGTTGAGTTTAAAAAAATAGGCTTTTATTTACAAAAACATGGACATGCCATTTTAACCAATAACATTATTTTCCCACTAGAAAAATAAAAATGTTGTTGAATAAAACACGTGGTAAAAAAATAAAAATTAAAAAATGTTTTAAAAGCATCACCCTTTTAGAAACTCCGAAGGGGCCATTCAAAACATTCCTTTAAGATAAAATACATTTGCATTAAAAAGCCCCAGCGATGAAATTGGTCGTCTTAGGTATTCTGGGCTGCCTACCTATAAGTAGGAATACCTAATATCACGGTCCTACATACCATAGTCCATAGAGGCTCTTTAAATACGTATATAAGACCCGTGCCTAATACTATAGTAACTACGTGTTGGCAAAACAGTACGAAAATATTTTTATTATTATTATTATTATAATAAACGAAATTGGAATATTGGAATACGACTTATGCAAATAGAGAAAACAAAAATACAGGAAAAATATGTGTTTCCTTCTAGGTACTTATACATTCTATATGGTAAGTGAGACGATTGGAGAAATACATGTACCTTCCATACATGATGTAGGTCATAGAGCTCAGACATTGATATCGGATACATATTTAAAATGTTATGGTTGGTCCTTAGTCACTAGCGTTTCATCTATTATTCTATTTATTATTCGATTTCAGGGCCGCCGAGATGGTATAGGGGGCCTGGGGCAAATTTAATTCTTGAGGCCCCCTAACTCGAAGCCTAGCGACTGGTGAGTTAACTTAAATTTTGGGCAAACCCATACCTATCTCAGTTATTAGACATGGGACCCACATCAAATTTATATAAGTTTATAATGACATTATATAGACAAGTTCTGCGCAAGCCAGGCCCGTAGCCAGAAATTTGGTTTGGGGGGGGGCCCAAAACGTAGTAATAATTTTTTGGGTGGTAGGGGGGGGCGGAAATGGTTGATGGATAAATACCAGTAAAGCGTGAAGTTGTCATAAAAAATATGGCTTGTAATCGATAGACATATTTTTAAAACATGATTCACATATTTAGGAAAGTTTTAGGGATCACGGAATTTCGGGGGGGGGCCCGGGCCCGTCGGGCCCTACGGCTGGCTACGGGCCTGGCGCAAGCAGAATTTAAATTGAAGTTTGAGAAAAAAAGTTAGTTTTTAAGTGTGCCCCCCCTAGCCTCCTGCCACCCCAAATTAAGATAATACAAATTAAAGTGGTACAATATTTAATTCACTGAAGTTTATCTACAAATTTCAAATTTTATTAAAAAAATTCAAGATTTACAGGTTTTATACCATTTTAAATTTTTATTATTTCTTTTACCAAATTTAAAAAAAATAGAAATGGTATAAAATATGTAATACTTATATTGTACCAGTTTAATTTGATTTATCTTTATTTGGGGGGGCAGGAGGCTGGGGGGCACACTTAAAAAGTAACTTTTTTTCGCAAACTTTAATTTAAATTATGCTTGCGCAGAACTTGTCATTATAAACTCATAAAAATTTTATGTGGGTCCCATGTCTAATAACTGAGATATGGGTGTGCCCAAAATCCACCAGTCGAAGCTAAATGTTGTAGGGGAGAAGACAGGATAACTTTTTTTCACACAAAAGTTAATACCAAAAAAATTGTAAAATAATGTAGTACACGTAGACAGTAGTCATAATTTATTACTACTGTCAGGGCCGGCCCGACCTTTTTTGCCGCCCCCATTTTATTCAGCAGGAATAGGAAAAAAAGTAGTTTAACGTAATTATTTTTTACAAATTTAGATGTTTAGATGTACCTACACAACAAAAATAAAACCTCATTTTCATATATGCAATATTGTTTAATTATAGTATAATTATTATACCTGCCTACGATGGTTCTTTTTGCAAGAATTTGGAAAAGGTTAGTGCTAGTACTCGATTTTCCGCCGCACGCGACCTTCTTTTGTTTTTATAACAAGTTCCTGAATCTTTTTTGCGGATTTCAGACATTTTATGCTTCTAATTATCAAACTACCTTAGCAATGCACTGATTTTACAAGCCCAATCGTGATATAATATTTGTCAATTATTAATTGTCAATTGTCAAACAAAAGTATAGAAAACTACAGGATGTGATTGAAGAAACGAATGAAAGAAAGCGCCTTTTTCAAATCTTTGTAAAAAAGATATTAAATTATCTAAACTGCATATCTCGAGCGTAATTCTTAATTCTTGATTATTATTATTCTTGATTATCATTAACAAATCGTAAAAATGCCGCCCCCCATTATGCCGCTCTGGGCCGTTGCCCGGTTCGCCCGTACCTCGGGCCGACCCTGACTACTGTCTACGTGTACTAAATTATTTTACAATTTTATTATTATTATTACTAATAAATAATAATATTGAATATTGAAAAATAAAAGGAAACTGTTAAGGGATTTAGTTTATAAAGGTACAATATTTTTTATTTAAAATTAGGGTACATAAAGCACATACTTGTGGAAGTATGTGACATAAAGTTTTAAAGGGTTGGTCGACTGCGACTGCATGCAGTGCACTGACGAGCTGCAGTTCTGCCAACCACACGGCGTGTGGTTGGCAGAACTGCAGCTGGCACACGCACCTTTAATACCACAAAAAACAAATCTGTCTGGGTAACTTATTTTGAACACACATTTATCAAGTTACTGTGGGCTTCATACAGAGCTGCAAGCTCTCAGAAAACTTAAATCGTTTTTTTTGATTTAAATAGTTTTAATGACTTAAGTCATTTGGTAATAAGTCATTTCTCTAAAACTGACTTAAGACTTAAAATTTAAGTAATTTTCAAAATGATTTGTGACTTAAATATTTTTTTTTAAATAAAAAAAACTTAAGTCATTAATAAAAGGCTTAAATCAGTACATACGATTTCAGTCAGATAGAAACGATTTAAGTCAAAAAAAGATTTAAGTCTTTTTAAAAAAGATTTAGGTCTTTTTAGAAAATATTTAAGTCAGATTTTTCATATATTTTTTTATAAATTTTTAACAGCAGCATTTTATTTTGAACTGCCATGGGTTCACGCGGCAGCAGATCAAAAACTCCTTTAATTTCCTACCTACAATTGCTACCGCTAGTGGATAAGTTAGCCGCGGTAAAGTTAGCTTTTCGGAACCGTTTGACGGCTACATTAAAAAATGTCCTGTCAAAAATGAATTAAAAAAAGTGGGGATTTATAATTTTGTTATTTTGTTTGCCAACATTCGTCGTGTTCGTGCGTAGTTAGGTCTAATTTGTGAATATTAGTGCAAAGTGGAAACAATCAGTCGTGAGCAGTCGTACATCTTGAGCGGTCGTGAATCGAGAGTTTGGAACTTCCCATCATTACTCCCTTAAGGGAGGAATATTTTTTTTCTAGATGGATGTTGAACCAGCTAACAAAAGTTAACAAAACAACAAGTTATCAGTTTTTGAAATACTTCAACTTTTATCTATTTTAACAGAGTTTGAATCTATTACTGTTTAGAAGTTACCCATTTATGTATATAAAAAAGTAGCCTCCCTGTATGTCTACTCTACTAAAAAAGGTGGTTTAAGTTTTTATTTTTATTGTCTACTATATACTCAAAAAATGTGTTTTAAGTTTTTATTTTATTTGTAAGTGTTCTGAAAATAAATCGTTTTAAATTCTTAACATAATGGTTTATTATCATCTGTATTATATTATATCTACAATAAATTAATAATATCAGTATCATTAATACCATAAAATTATTATTAACATTTAAAAAATCGTTGTATTGACTTAAGGGTAATAATTTTGATTTAAATCACAATTTTTGATTTAAGTCATTTTATTGACTTAACTCTTAGATCACGATTTAAATAAAAAATATAGACTTAAGTCATAAAAACGACTTACTAAAGGAATTAAGTCATAAGATGACTTAAATCACTTAATATTGATTTAAGAATTTGCGAAAATGACTTGACTTGAAAGAAAATGATTTAATTCAAAGACTTAATACTTAAATCATTTGAACTTTATCTTAGAATTGACTTAAGATTTAAATCATTTTGATTTTAGAATTGACTTAAGACTTAAGATTTAAGTCTTTTTAAAACTGACTTGTTGCAGCTCTGGCTTCATAGAAATATTTTTAAACTAATGCATTATTGAAAAAGAGTAAATTGACTGTTAATTCAACATATTTATTGTTTTAACTTTTTGAATTATTTTTAAATCTAGGCGCCCCTGACCTGGGACCTGGGGCAATGTGCCCCTTTTGCCCTCCTCTCGGCAGCACTTTTTCATTTATTATTTAAGCTATTATTCCACTGGCAACATCTTGTTCTAGTGTTCTACTAGTGATATAACATGTGTAAAAATTGCCATTCGTTGCATCACTAGTAAAATGGGAACATTAGGAGTAAAATTTATTTATTAATTAAATGAAGTCTTTATAGTCTTTTAATAATTAAAAATCATTATTTTTGTAATTTTTATTTATTAAATATAAATACATTTATTGTTCACAATTTTGAAATCTCCTTCTTTAAAAATATATACAGTATCACCAAGGTACAATAGTTAAGAACCGCAGTCAATAATTAATTTATTTTTAAAAACCTGCCAATGGAGCAGACCTTTAATTTTGGCTTAAGTGATAAGAAAAAATAAATATAGCTAACATTTATTTACGTTGTTAATCTCACGAAACAACTCCATTGTCGTCAATAATCAATAATAATCTAATAATTTATATGGCGTATTTAAAAATAAAAGGCCTGCGTTTGCTGTTGTTGCCTGGGCCTCAAATTCTGACCGCTGTATCCTTGGTATTCTAAATTCGCATTGGGGATATCGGTGTTGGCCTGCCCCTCGTACCTTGTCGGTCTGGATAGTTTGGGCCTGTAGCTATAATCCGAGCTGGATTGGGACAAAACTGGATCTACGACGTATCTGGGCCTCTGGAAATTACTGTAAGTGTAATCCTGGGCGGCGCTGAACCCAGTGGGAAACCCCCGGACGGGTAAGTTCGGTAAAGTAGGGTTAAGAGCGTCGTTTAGAGTTACATCGTATTCATTTAAATCCAGTGGGTTCCTTTCGGGTACTTTAGGTTTCTGCGTGGTTCTAGGACCAATGTGTTTTGTTTCTACGTAGGGTTTGCGTACTTCCGGCTGTGTAATATCGTAATCTTCGTCGATGGGGGCGTATTTTTGCCTGACCGGTACTTTCAGGATCACCGGAGAGGGTTTGAATTCCTCATTTTTATCTTTATATGTACTACTGAATGATTCTTTCATTGAAAACGTAGGTTCTTTGTTTGCAATTGGGACTTTTACTTCCTGAATTTCCTCTGTTTTTTCTTCATAGTCTTCATCAGCATATTGAGGTTGAGCCTTTAAACCAACAGGTTGCAATCCTCTGCCTGAGTAAGGATTACCACCTCTACTGGGTAAAAAAGGCCTCTTTACAACTCTCACAATTTGTTCCGACTTTAATTCTGGTTTTTCTGTTGTTGTAGTGGTGGTAGTAGTACTTGTGGTAGTACTAGTACTTGTTGATGTAGATTTAGGTTTAAATGCGATTTTAGGTTTTGTTGTTTTAACTGGTTCCTCTACATAATCGTCATCGTAGTATTCCTCCACAATAGGTTTCTTTGGAGTAGTTGTAGAATGTCGTGTGCTACCTCTGACGTTGAATTTAGGCCTTTTCGTCGTCGTTTTTTCCTGTTTTTCTTCACTTTCTTCTATTACATCCCTAGGTCTAAAATTCTTCTTTACTTCCTTGGATTCTTCTTTATGCTTATCTGGTCTTTCACTAACTTCAGTGGATTTTCTTGATGGTTTAGCCCTTGGTTCTTCCTCTTCATAATCATCGTAATATTCTTCATCTAAAACTGCTGGTGGTTTAGTTGCTATAGCCACATGTTTATAAGCATACTTGTCAGCTTCATTTTTTGGTACTGGAAGTTTAATTCTTGGTGCCAATCTTGGGCGATCGTATATGGTACCAGATACCGGTTTGATAATAGCTCTGGAATTTTCTTCTTTTGGGGGATTTCTTCTTTCTTCACTTTTCCTTGGACGATCGTAATCCCTGTCATCATATGTGTCTTCTTCGTACTCTTTGTAAGGTCTTCTGGAAGATTTTCTTGGTGGTTTTCGTGGCGTTTCTTCATCCTCTTGTCTTCTTCTGTCACTTTTATCCGCAGGTCCTCTTTCTTTGATTTCATCTTCAGAGTTTCTGCTTTTGGATTCTAAATAAGGGCGACGTTTTTCAAACTTTCTTTCCGAAGAAGAAGAACGTTTATCTGTATCTTCCTCTTCATTACGGCGTTTATCAAACTTTCTTTCCGAAGAAGAAGAACGTTTATCTGTATCTTCCTCTTCATTACGGCGTTTCTCATACTTTCTATCCGAAGATGAAGATTGTTTATCAGTGTCTTCATCTACACTTTTTCTATCTTCATTATCACCGTGTGGTCTACGTTTTTCAAAGTTTCTATCTGAAGAACGTTTATCGTCAGTTTTTCTATTGTCGTTATCACGTCTGTTGGACTTCGTTTCTTCATCGCGTCGGTTTGATTTTGTTTCTTCTTCATCTTCGTAATCGGGCGTTCTTCTATCTTTGTTTTTACGTCTATCACCTGGACGTTTTCTCGGTGGTTCTTCATCTTCATCGTCTCTTCTGTCGTATGGTCTTTTTCTATTTTCATCTCTTCTTCCTGAACCTCTTCGTTCAAACCTAAAATACAATTATTAGATTTTGGTAAAAAAAATTAATTTGTAAATGTGCCTTTCTTCATACTCGTCTCCATACTCCTCTTCTTCATAAGCTGGTCGCCTTGGACGTGGTCTCTTCTTCCTTCTTGGTCGTTCATAGTATTCCTCATCATAATATTCATCTTCATAATAGTCATATTGCGGTCTAACTCTTGGTCTAAGTCGCCTACGACCTCCATTTGGTCTTCTAAACCCACCACCAAGTAGTGGTGATACTGTTAAAGGTCCTGTGGGTGGCGGTGTCGTGGGTATCACTAAAGATTTTGCAGTTGTAGTGGAGGCTGCTTGATAAAGATCATCATTTCTGTGCCAGTATTTTTTGGAGTTGGCACAATCTACTTCAGACGCAAAATGGCAGATAAACGTTTTTTGATCGAAGGCTGTGTAGTTGGCACATAGGAAATCGTATCTAGTTCCGAAAAGACAGTGGTGGTATACCTGGTAAACAAAAAAACATTGGTTAATCAGTGTTTATAAAGTAAAATACATGGGGCAGTTATTTTTCGTGACGTATTCTATTATTTACAATAGTCCTTTTACCAAAAAGATCAAATTAAAGGAATGGCCAATTATTCTGTCTTTATATCCTTGATATATAAGATATCCAATTTTAAAAGAAGAATACACGCGTTTTGTGATATCACGTAATATTTGTCTATACGGTATGCAATATAAAAGTGTACTCTAGTACTTTATAGAATCCTGAAGGTGTAATCCCTGATAGCAAAATTTTATTCTAAGAATCTTCTAAGAAGATATGACCCGGAATAATGGAATATTCTTAGAACCTTCCCTTATTGCTAAGAATGTTCTTAGGGACTTTTAAAACATTCAATAGATACCCTTTTAATGATGCAATTAGATTCTTAGAAGCTTCTTAAAACCGTCCTAAAAAGCATTCTAAAAACATTTTAAGAATACGTTTTTGGAATGTTCTTAGAAGGTTTCTTATGGAGCTTCTAGGAAGCTTTTGAGAATATTTCCAAATATGTCAGATACCCACGTTCTAATATGTTGGATTCTACATTCGTAAAATTCTTCAGGAGGCGACAAATACGCCTTACTGTCATAATATAACAGTGAAATGTATTTGTCGTCCCCTTAAAAAAATTTGCGACATAATAATATATATTTATTTAAAAATATTAAATAAACAATTTCACCTTTAAACCATAAATTGTATGACATTATTTCATAAAAAGTAAAATTGGAAAATTTAGTGGGATAAGTCAGATTAGATTGAAGTTGAAGATAGTTAGGATTATTATACATAAAAATGCTAATTCAGAAATAAAAAATCGGTATACAAATTAATAAATATTTATTTTTAACATAAAATAAAATATAAAAAAACAAAATATTTCCTTATAAAATAATTTTTCATAAAAGAAAAAAACAAATAGTTCTTCATAAAAAAAAACATTTTTCATTGTATTTAAGTTGGATAGAAGATTTTATGTAAAAGCCGGTTAATTTAGATACCCATAGTAAAAGTATTTTTGTTATCGAATATTGTTTTAATTTGACAAATAACTATAACAAAATATTTTGGGTTCTGTTTTTTACTTAGTATTTAATACTAAGTATAGGTACCTTTATACGTAGATTATGGTATATTTTACTATTATATAGGTACCTAACTGAACTGAATATGCTTAACAGAATGTTCCAGGAATATTCCTAAATGAACTTTCTATAGCAATTACTTTCTCAACATTCTAAGCATATGTTTAGAGTGGATTAATTTTTACCACTAAACTTTGCACAACTAAAAACCTGCCTATAGGCCAGTGAGAATATTCTTAGGATTATGCTTTTTTTCTTTTAAGCATATTCTTTAGAAGGAATATAGCATGATCCTAAGAATATTCTCACTGGAAGGTTTAAAAAACATTCTTAGAACATGACTAGAAGAAATATAGCATGATCCAAGAATATTCTCACTGAAAGGTTTAAAAAACATTCTTAGAACATGACTAGAAGAAATATAGCATGATCCTAAGAATATTCCCACTGGAAGGTTTAAAAAACATTCTTAGAATAAACTGTGCTATCTTTAAAGAGTTTTGTGGAAAAAACTTCTGGTGATGTAATATTTGGATTAGAATTTGTGGAAAACCTGATGTGATGGAACAATTATGAATTTGGATTCAGCAGGTTAAAAACCTTGGGAAAAATACATTCTGGTTTCTATACTCCTATATAATCAGTGATCACATATATAGTTAATGTAGTCATTATTATTTAATTGTTTATTTAATATAATATTCAATTGGTTTGGTCTGAGAATGCATTCCTATTATCTAAACAATGGACTTTTTAAATCTTTCTAGTATAAAACAATTGTATGTATCTTGATTATGAAATTTACTTTTTATAAAAACAACTTTTTTATTGTGAATTTGTTGGTAAAATAATTCCAAGAACTAATAATATAGATAGACCACAATTCCTTGACATATAAAAAGTTTGCAACAGGTGATTCCATAATTTTAACCTTTACTAGTCCTGCGTTATGTAACTTTTTTTCTTCTAATTTATGATGCTGTTTGTTTTATTGATTTATATTTAATATTCAGGGACAATGCATAAATACACATATATCTAATCGCAATATTTTCACAGAACTATAGTATATTTTATGATGATATATGATATGCGGTTTGTCATAATCTGTTTTGCAAGGGTAAAGTTGAATTGCTTGGGGTTGAATTTCGAAAAATTCATATTGGTCAAGTTTTGCTAAACTACAAACCACAATATTTCGTATTATGATGTATCTGATTTAATATAGGATAGTGTTAGATATATCAATGGCCGGATTCAGGGGCAATAAAGAAAGTGGGGGACCTTTCAATCAATAAATAACTTTTAATAATTTTATTTTTACATTTAAAAACAAATTTTCATTATTATTATTATTAATCATAATCCAAAGTTTGTGGACGCCTGATTGACAGGTTACCCTGTCGTAAATCCGGCCCTGGATCTAGAAACTCACATAATATGTAATATATTATATTAAATCTATACCTATCGGGTTGACATCTCATTATGATTTCAGGACTTTTTACTGTTTTAAACGATTTTAAACATATTTTTTCTTATACCTTGTTATTTTATTTCTGCAATTTGTAAACCATTACGTTATGTTATTGATAATTTACTAAAGTATAGCATTTTTCCTGACCATCCAAAAACCACTCTAGCTAGCCGTTATAAGGACGTTGATGAATAGCTACAGACCAATAAGTCTATTATTGTCTTTAACAAAAGTTTTTGAAGCAAAATTTGGTGCAGGCTGAGGAGTTTTTTTGAAAGTAATAATTTATTTAATAAAAATCAGCTCGTTTATTTGAAGGATAGGTCTGTGAATACAGCAGTACACAGCTTCATACAAAAAATGTACGATGATTTCAAAAGTAATTGTTTATCTTTGGGACTTCTTATGGATCTCTCTAAAGCATTCGATTGTTTAAATTATGATAAACTTTTTAAAAAACTATACAACTATGGAGTAAGGAGCTGTGCGCTGATGTGGATACAGTCATATCTTTGAAACAAGTACCATTGGGCCATGTTGTTAATAATAATTTATATAAACGACATTAACAGTGTTCAAATTCAAATCAGAATATGGTAAATTTCGCTGATGATACTAACCTATTAGTCAGGGGAAAAATCTACATTTATGTACTGGCAGAGACAGTTTTTTTGATAAAATTTTTGAATGACTGGTTCAATGAATAAACTGATTTTGAACCAAGAAAAAACCAACTGCAGAAAAGTACAAGATCGAATGGAAATAAAAACGTTACAATAAATAATAACGTAATTAATTATGCATAGGACAAAGCACAAAGTTTTTAGGTCTTTATAAAATTTATATTTATATTTAATATGATTACCTACTTTGGAATACTCATTAAGCACAACTAAGTCAAAAGCTAGAGTAGGTAGGTACTAAAGAAATATGTAAGCAATGATACACTAAAAATCATATGTTTTTCGTATTTTCAGTCTCTGCTGAGGGATGGTATTATTTTTTGGGGTGGAAGTAGTAGTGTTGTAGATATATTTGTTATACAAAAGCGTTTAATTTGCATCTTGAGCAATTTCAAGTATGCTGACACCTGTAGATGATATTTTAAATGCAATAAATAGTATTTTAACTAAGTAATACTGGTCTATATATTTATTAACTTAATATTTGCACAAAAAAATTAAGAAAATTTTACACATCCTAAACGAAACACTATTACTATCTTCCGGCTACCCAAGCAGGGATTATTTTTATTTTGAAAAAGTTTTTACTATTCAGCCATTGTATGTTTTAATTTTAAAAAGTTTAAAACTGCGTTTATAACTTGCTTATGCATATTGAACCATATGACTATTTAGTAATTAATGTATTTTCTTGGCCAAACTTCATTTAATATTAATATTTACAAATTTTGTATTATATTTTTCTTTATTTAAAATTTCTTGAAATAAATATTAATATTATAATAATAATTATTATATATTATAATAATAATTATTTTTAAATATTAACTTTTTCTATTTAAAGGTACTAAAAAAATTGTGTTCTACTTTTACATAAATAAATATTCAAAAAAATGACTATTTTTTGCATTTTCTATATTAAAATCGTTTAAATTTAAATTAAATAATGTTTAGCCTAATTTAACCATTAGCATATCAAACTTCTATTAAAATACCAGATTACTCAGAAACCCTGTAAAAGTGATAATTATAAAATATTTTTTCTACTTCTAATACGGAATTTGACCGTTCTAATATCACTTTTATCTATAGAATGACATATATTCCGTAAAGTGTTACAGAATGAAATATTCTATCATCTGATGACAGAATAAACACTCGTAGCGACATCTCTGTTTTTAATATCTAACAAATTTTAGACCGATCCAATCTAACTTTCTTCCAAAACTTAATATATAATATACTACGATAATAACAAATAATCAATTTTAAACAATTATTTAATTGACAAACACTTATTTAAATCTTTTTGCAATTGCAAATTAATTGTGCAAGTTATTTGACACATTTGTAATAATAATTCATTTAAATAGTTCACAATTTTTGTTCAACTTTCTATTTATTATTTATTCTCATTAAATAAAAGCGATTACGAATAATTTTGCAAGAATTTAACAAAACAAATTTAAATCCTTAATTAAACCTTCATTAAACTTAATTTAATCGGTTATTAAGTTAAATTGGGTATAAAAAAAAAGAAAGAAAATGTGTCAAGACTTTTATTTTTAGCTAAAATTTACGACTTTTTTAATAATACTTAGTAGGCGTATGCAACATAACATAACATAACTTAACAATAGGATGATATAAGGAAGTGTGACATAATCGTTAATTATAATACATATACATACATAGGTCCCTACTACTAGCTA